ATATAAAATAAATATATAAATGATCAGCATGATGAGCTGAGTCGATTTAGCCATGTCCGTCTACCTGTAGGACGGTCCTTCTGTCTGTATATACGCGAACTAATCCTTCAATTTTTTAAATCTCGATCTGAATCAAGTTCTTGCAAGGAATCTTTTGTATTTGTGAAGTGTGTTATTGCCTCAAATTTGCTTCCCAAAGCCTAGTCGATATCTTGATGAAAACGAATAGAAAAATACTGCTTAATTTCTTACAGCATTACAACTTACTTTTTAATCTACCACGAACTAACAAAAATTTGTGCATTTTCACTAGTTTGGAGCTTCATAGTTTAGACTGTGTCTTCCTACTGGGCTTTTGTATGCGTTTTGTTTGTTGCGACTGCGTCGTTGCCGCTCGCAAGTAGGTGGTGCAACATTAGCATGGCACAGAGTGGATCGCAATGACACAGAACCAAGGCAACACGATGTGCTGTATAATTGAACCGTTTGTTAATATAACCCATACATATGTATATACAAATATACATATATTTAGATAATGTATCTATTTGGTGGCATGCAACCAAAAGTGCGCGCAAACTACAATGCAACCGCTTAAATAACAATTGGCAAACTTATGTAAATTCGTACGAGTGTGTATGTGTGTGTTAGGTAAGTTCTGCATGTTAACACATATTTATCGTTCAATGATAATTAGCACTTTAAATGCCGCAACATTTTAGTTATGGATACTTCTGTTGTTTAGTTGTAGCAATTACATGTGTTTGTATGTAAGTAAACTGTATTATACTTTAGGTAATTGTTAATCGTCCAACAAAATTAAAAATTCTCACACATACACACTTATACTTAACTGCAACTATACGAGTATTTCAATCATTTATTACTTTATTACTTTAGCGATAAGGTACTAAAATCGAATTGTTCGCAGCAATTGCATTAAATGTAGCGTGAATCGATTTGGAGCAATCAAGTACTCGCGCTGGAATTATTTATGCAGTTTTGCAATACCAAGTAATTAATAACCATCAACTGTTAATTTTAGTTTCACATCACTCTTACGTAAATATTTATGTACATATGTAGAACAATAGGAGTGGTGCTTAGTATCCTCTTGCCGCACTTGTACTTTCGCACCCCTTCTAATCGTAGCAGGTGTTACAAATCGCCCCGCGAAGGTTATAATTTATCAATCATCGTAAAGTATTCATTTAATTACCACTTTAAAAATAATTGTATTGAAGATTTAATAATACAATAATACCACTACAAAGTCCAAAGTCATATCCATAACGAGTGTTGTAATCAAGGTTAGACTACTTGCTACACTTCTTTAATTAGTGTGTGTAACGTGTGATTTAAAATTGCATCGCAATAAATTTAAACGAATTATGCCATTTGTAGAGCATAGTTTTATTTGCATTTACAAGAACTGGGTACAAGAATGCTGCCGGTTATAAAATAATGTGGGAAAACTAAAATGCAAATTGCCACACATCGAGCAGCTGGAGCGCGGGTGATGGAGTACTTGGGAAAAATGGTATTAAATCGCAAACATTTTCGCGCAATTATTTTTTACAACTTTCCACGTGGTTTAACTCAGCAACAGTACATCGAAGAACTTAATTAAATTTTTGGCGATAAAGCTGTATCAAAGACCAGTTTTTACCGATGGTATCGTCAATTCAATCGACGTCGTAGATCACACCAAGACGCTGTTTCCAAATGAAACGAATTCAACAAAAGTTGTTCGCGCACGAAGCACTTCCAAGCAAATGGACAATTAATCAGAGGCGCTAAGGTGCTTCGACAATTGATTGTTTTTGTTGATTAATATTTGTTTTTTTTCTCTAATCTTGAAATATAAAAGGTCGTACCTTCTTCTAAAATCAGAAAGTTTAGTTTTTCTATGACATTCAATAACAGTTGCCATAAGTATACTCTTATTTTCATTTTAGTTTTGAGTATATTAATACCCCTGGCTGCCGCCAGCTGCCTTTTCAAAAAAGGTCTTTCTCCACTGATTATTGAAATAATTAAATTTGAGTGAACGAACCAGTCCAGATTTAATTCCAACCTAGAACTGTTACTTTAGTTACATTCCTGGAATATGTACTAGAAATTTTTATGGCATGCAAGTTTTTTATATTAATAATATATAAAGCAAATTACTCACACATATGCATAAGTGTTGTTAATTTGTTATTTTTACAATTACAAACATAAAAAACTTAATCAATACACTTTTATATAAGATATTTTTTTAAATTCCTTTTGAGTAAGTCGTTGCAACATTTATCGATTTCCAATTTTATTTCCTATGTAAACTAGCTCGAAGCATATTTTAAATTAAATTTATTAATAGATCAACCACATAAATATTACTTAATGTGGACAATTGAATTTGTGAAGTAATTTTAATTACTCCATTAGTACAAATGCGTAATCTTGTAGGAATAAAATTATGCAGTTAGACAGTGTGAAACGGTGAAGCATTGTTTAAGAGCACTTACAGAGTTAAAATATTTCATGGCAAGACAAGCGAAAATTGTAATTAGTACAAAAATTACTGAGGAAATCAAAAAAGTATGTAATCTGTGGTTGTTATTGGTATTTGTTAATTAAAAGCGAAGGGCATTGCTTTGGTCGGTTAAACACAGATATACACAGAATTATGCAATTGATTGGGAATTCGAATTATTTTGTTTCGCTAAGATAGAAGTTAACACGTTGCTTTTGTCAGGCTAACTAAGATGGCATGATTTTGATTATACATATGTGTGTCTGTAAGTATTAGAGACTTCTTAAAAAGAATTTTCAAGATTCTAAGATATTTGCAAAGTATAATGTGATGAAAAAATGGTGTTGCCATATTTCAGCCTAAAAAATATGACACATTTTTTAAGAAATCCAGTTGGAATTTTTTATTAAAAAAAAATTGCCAGAAGTTTCCCTAAGTCTACGGTCGTGAAGCTTCATACCAGTGTTTTTCATCAGAAGCCCCGTCCATTTAGAAAGCTGAAGATCGGCTGCTTTGCCATGCATCCCGCTTGAGTGCGCATTCACTCTGATAGCAGAGTAGCGATATTAGACCTGAGCTTGTTGATATTATGCTCAAAATTAGTTATGGATTGCTTACACTGTGTTTCGATTACATTGAACAATTGATTTAAAGGACCCTAGCTTTATTATGATCGCTGTAGTTTGTAAGTCCGATGAACCTAAGTACAATAATAAAGTTGCCTTTAAGGACATGTAGAAACCCGCTTGCCTTCTTGCGATTTAGTATCGCGCGGCTAGCCTTCACGTAACCTAAACAAGCGCTGGACAATCACCGGCATTTGGGCGGCCGCAAAATTCATCTAGCAAGGGATAAAGCTGGTTATAGGTGTCGGACTAGTCACCAGCTGATTAGTACCCATGTGGCTTATTTTTTTATATATCTATGGTTGAAGCATTTCGACTCTCATTTAGTCATATAGAAAACTTTTTGGTTTTGGAATTAGTTATTTTAAGGAATTTCTGTTGGACTGTCCTCAGCCGTTGTATAAAAATAATAAAATTGCATAAATTGTTTAATAATTTTCAATTCATATATGTATATTTTATAATAAAAATTATAAAAAAATGCAACCGTGTTAATGTATTTAGAATGTGTGAAATAGCATCTGATGCTAATATTTTGCACTTAGTTGTAGTGACTTCCATGTAGCACTATGTCAACTATTTCTATCACAAATAATTACGTCAAGTTAATTGAATGAAGTGATCAATTAGAAGTACATATACCAGAGGAGCGGAAAAAATTAAAAAATACTTTTATTTACACACTTGTCTATGTACATTCGTGTACATAAGAAACACTTGCATTCATTGTGAGTTAATTAATACGTTCGCATAGTTACCGGAACTGCAATTGCAAATGGGTTGGGCGTGGCGTCGTGGCTAGCCGTGCAAGAAACGCTTTGACAACATATATCGTCGCTAAATTGTCGCGCAAACGCAGTGAATGGTAAATCAAGTGCGCAGTCAAGTGGCAATTATATATACCCATATATATATATATAACATACACTTCCCAGTAGGAATATCTTCTACCTAACACGTATACGGATATGTCGGTTCAGCTGAGTCGATTTAGCCATGTCCGCCCGTCTGTTCATATATACTTCTATATACTTCCTCAGTTTTTGATATATCTTACTGAGATTTGCACAAGTTCTTTTTGCGCTAAGAAGCTGCTCATTTGTCGGACCACTACAGCATATAGCTGCCGTACAAACTGAACGATCAGAATCAAGTACTCGAATGGCAAACTTTTCCATTTGAAGAGATATTTTCACGAAAATTTGAAAAGGTTTTTTTTTTAAGCATTAATATAGTATCCGAAGCAATTGTTCAGATCGGATCGCTATAGCACATAGCTGCCATACAAACTGGCCGATCAAAGTCAAAGTCATGTATTGAAAAATTTTTATTTGACAAGATAACTTCACGAAATTTGGCTTAGATTATTGCCCAAAGCAATGCCATAATCGCTCAAGATATTGTCCAGATCAAACCACTATATCATATAGCTGTCATACAAGCTGAACGATCAAAATCTAGTTCTTGTATGAATAATTTCTTTCTCTGTGATGGATATTATTGCAACTGAAGTTAACGTTTTTTCTTCTTTCTGTATAAAAATAATATATTACCTGATGGATGTTTAGTCTGCTGTATAATCTGCTTGTCTACCTTGAAATTTTGCATCTAATGTAAGCTGGCGCTTATTTAATTTGAATGAAAGGTATAAAGTTTATGATGTTTAAATGAAAACTAAAATTTAACCATATGACTCTCTACTTTTTCCTACTGGGTCATTATTTATCTGTATCGAGTAAGACCAGTTGCTATTTGCATTATGCGATGGCGGAAGGCGGTTTACGAGTATTTACCTTATTTATTAAATACTACTTTTCATTATTAATTTAGCGATAGAATGTTAGGTTATAGAGGTCGTCGTTGCTCGCTGCGGTAGAGAAAAAATTCAATGTGATACTGCTTGTGCATATGCAAAAGAGAGGCGTTGACAAAAGCAATCACGTTAGAAACCAATATATAATAAGCTTTTGATTGAATGCTTGTTGCTTTTTTATATCAACTGACGGTAATATTCATGTGCTTCAAATAAGTTATGTTTGTAGGCGTGATATTGGCGGGTGTGCTGTAGCGCATGCGCACGTCATATAAGCTAATATTTAATTATCTGTGTGTGTGTGTCTATTTTCTTTCTTACACATATATACATTTTTTGTTCTGCTTTATATTTTTATTGGCTATTCTTAGATGAATGTGGGCCCAGATACAGTGGTTTTGCATTTTATTAGAAACCGGCAGTTTTAGTTACACATTTATATAAGCGCATATGTATTTATATTTGTTTATAGACATTATGAATTTTACATTATATGCATTTATCTACAACTAATAATAAAAAATCTTTTAAGTTCTTGTTTTACATGTTATTTTTTACACTTTTTGTGAGTAATTGCTTGAACAAGAAGTTTTTTCTTCCTATATTCATACAGGTGTCGATATACTGACCACTCTCGCTTTCATTGCGACACTAAATAATCTGATTTGGTTTCGAATAAACACGCTGATTAGTTTTCTGTATAAAATCACCGTGTTTATGGTACTGAAATCAGAACGGAAAATTAGTCCAAACGGTCAAGTACAATAATTCGCTCAGCAGCAATTAATCCCTTAAACAAAATCAAAAATATCAAAATGAAAGTAAGTGGAACAAGGATTAAAAATTACTTACAATGTGTTATTATTGTAATTGTGTTATTAAAATGAAATATTAAAACGATTTATATTGATTTTTTCTTTCTTATAAATGGTGCCAATTTATAAGAAAGAAAAAATCAATATAAATCGTCAAAATCGAAATAATAATTCATAAAATTAATAAATTTTATTGCACAGTGCTCCACACTTTTGTGAAAAAATTAAAATGAAAAAGTATGCTTTTACATTAAAAATATAAATAAAAAATTGTTGTGAAATTTCTAAATTTTATTAAAACATTGAAATGTTCAGATTTTTTTTTTAAATCGTAATTTCAAAAACTACAATTTTTTTTAAATTTTTATTATTACAAAATTATCTATTGAACCAATTAATACATGAAAATCATATTCTTATATTTCATATTTTTATAATATTTCATATTCTTATTATATTTATTTTTCTTATTCTCCTTCCCCTACCCAACTAGTTCGTCATCGCCGCTGTCTGCACTTTGGCTCTCGCCATGGGTGTTCAATCCTCAATTATTCCCGGTCTGCTGCCCGGTCTTACACAAGTCGCCGGACACGGTCTCTCCTACACCGCCGTCTCTGGACCATTGGCCGTTCCCGTTGCTGCTCACGCTCCAGCTGCTGTAATTGCTGCCGCCTCACCACCATTTGCCTTTGCTACTCGTGCTGCTGCTTATGCTTCACCTTCTTACGCTACTTATGCTTCACCCTCTATCGCTGCTTATGCTTCACCCTCTGTCGCTGCTTATGCTTCACCCCCTGCCGCTGTGCAAGTACCTTCTGTCGCAGTGCAAGTACCCTCTGTCGCTGTGCAAGTACCTTCTGTCGCTGTGCATGCACCCGCTGTTGCGGCGGTAGGTCATGCTGGTTTAGTAGCCGGTGGTGCTTACGTTGCCAAGACCCGTGGTGCCGTGCATTCGGCTCCATTGCCCGGACACATCTCCTCAGTGGCCAATCTGAATGTTGCTCCCGCACCAGGCACTTGGTAAATTCAGTCAATCTAGCTACACATCCATCTACCTATCCCCTATTTCCATAATACTACCACTAATACGACAAGTAAATGCCGTGTGTAGTGGTGACACGGCTAACTCCATAAGGACCTGGATTAAAATTATAAATGTGTGGCCGAGGCGCGCATTAGTCGATAAACTCAAGAAGGCGCAATTTTGTACACACGCAGAATGCAATGAACGAGCAACAACAATAACTATATTACTTGATTTCAACAACATTCATCACAACAACAAACGCAACAATGCAACAAACCCTAAATTCATGTGGTTTTTTTCATCTTCTTCTAATCTTCATTCACATTGCACTTTCACTCACTCACCCCCCTCCTATTGTAAATTCCTCTTTTCATCGAAGCTTACTTCTGCAGATGCTTGTAAAAAGTATGGTTGTAAATGAATAAAATGATTACGACTAAAAAACAAAACTAAAAGATTTTTAATTTTTTAAATATACAATAGTTGGGTTTAAACCGAAAAAAACGATGAAGTCATGATCACCTGTCCTAGTATTTGTATCAAAGATAAATTTGTGACGATGTAGAAATGATATAAATTAATATTACAAAATTTGTCTATAATTGACAACTATATTTTAAAAACAAAATAGTCTAATTTCCATCTAAAATGGTTAGGTTTTGTATTAAGACTGATCTCTGAGATAGAAGTCCACAATTCAACAGTCCCAGACAAGTCCTTTGTGTTCCCAAAACTACTTCAGAGAAATTTAAGATCTCTTGAGCTCATCACAAATCTGCGAGTTCGCCGGGATGACTTAAGGTCTGAGATGACATATGTTTTAATCTTAATATCGCGATAGTTGACTATCCCAACCTTTTACTAAACAAATTCGACAATTGTCATCCGGCACGATTTTTAGCCTCACGGCATCCGCATTATGATTAGTATGAAATTCTAAAAAAGGAAAAGCGAGCCTTACTGAAGACAGAGAGCTTACCGAACTTTGTCACCACATAAGTAGGCAGTAGGCAAACGCTCGTAAAACTCACGTGAGACTAAAATGCAAGAAAAGAGCAAACTTCGATTTTGATTCGAACAAACAAAACAAAACAAATATCGTTAAATCTTGAAAATCTTATAACAGATAAAATTTTAGATATTTTTGGCTCTGCATCCAATTTGCAGCTGCTATTAATAAAAAGAGAACGGATCGAAGCTCCGCTCTCTTCATGCGTTTTAATACTGGATAGCTGGACTTCGTGTGAGCTTTGGCAGCGCTGGGCTACCGTTAGTTCTTGCGCTGTCATAAGATTTTTTTAGCACAACGTGGATCGCAAGAGGTATAGTAAGCTCTTCGCTGTACTGCTCTTGCGAGATCAATGCTTAAACACCTGAAAGCTCACATTTTCAGTTAGCCCGATGAGTTAGTAGGTATAGAATTAAACGGCAAGGCAGATTTGTATTGTAAGTCACTTTGTCGGTTTATAACATCTGTTCAGTACAATTCTACAACGTGAAATGATGATTAAACGATATTTTTTCTGTTAACTATTATGTTACCTGCTTCTGATAAATTTTTTCGCAGAATGAATTATTCAGTCTGAAAACAGTTAACAACTAAAGATGACGATAAACGTCAAATTAATTCTGTCTTCAAATGATTCAAAGCATTTATTCAAAAAAAATATACCACAATGGATGTGTTTTTTGTGATTGTGAGACTACTATTCCTCTCACTTTTAATACGAGCCCCAAGTACACATGTATATCAATTTAAACTGGAAACAGCTTTAATTTCACAATTAACTGTCAAGACAAAGTCCGAATCTACGTAAGCTTGACATACCGAATGTCACGCAAGTTCAAAATTAATTGGTTAATTAAAATCAAAGTGTATACTTTTATTGTGAATACAATAATAATTGCAGTACACATGAACATACATATATATTTATAGGGTCGTTTTTTAGAAATATGAGTTTTTAGTATTAAAGAAATTGGCAATTACGAAGTTATATTATTTACCAAAATTCTTCTGGCATGTCACAGTAACCGTGTGCTAAGTTTTCTCATAAAAAAATTACTTATAATGAATATTTTCTACTCTCAGCGAAATAAAGGAATATGTATATATATATAAGAACCAATATTTTACTAAATATGTTTTTGTTAATTTGTATAAATATATACAGTGGCGAGCAGAATTGAGTGCATGTTTACAAAACTGACTTTCATCACCCATAAAAACAAAACCACACAAGCAAATCCAAATTTTTTTTTGTTTTATTTTTATTATTTTATTTGTAACAAATTCTAGTAAAGAAACAATGACTAATGAGAAAAATTCGAAGAGTTTGAAAGAAAAAACGAAAGAAACTCGCCTAAACTCAATTTTGCACGTTTAAAAAAAGTTCAATAACTAAATAGATTTCAATATTTTGTCCATAGACCCTTATTGGAAATGACTTCTTTTACGCGGTCTGGCATGCTCTCTACCAAATTTTCAATAATATCTTTCGGAATACGACTCCATTCTGCTGTTACACGATCCCAAAGGTTGCCCATGTTTGTTGGAGCTGTTTCGTACTGCCCGATCCGTCTTTTCACTATTGATCAAAGATTTTCAATCGGATTGAGATCGGGACTTTGTGCTGGCCACTCCATCAATTTAAAATGTTGTTTTCCAATCCATTCCTTTACAAGTTTTCCTGTGTGCTTCGGATCCCCATCGTGTTGAAAAAAATTTCTTGTTCGGAATAAGCACATTTCTCAATAAAATTGGGAAGATTGGTTTGCAGAATTTGAAGATAGTCCTCTTTTCGCAGGATACCATCTACTAAACGAAGAGGACCAACATGCCACCATGTAAAGCATCCCCAAATCATAATATTTCCACCGCCATGTTTAATAGTTTGTTTTACGTGGTGTCTTTGTATACGTTCTCCGGGTCTACGCCAGCAGTATTGCTTTCCGTCTGACTGAAAACGGTTAAATTTGGACTCATCAGACCAGACAACACGTTTCCAATCATCAATGGTCCAATTTTGACAACAATGCGGACAATGCAGGTTTGTTTTTTTTTCACACTTGAAATATATCCGATGTCTCGTAGCGCTCTTCTAGCAGTCCATTCACTAACTTTTTTATTAATGACCAGAGAAGCACCCTTTGGTGTCAGTAGCTTGTTTTTTCTCATTTCGGACATCAATAGTCGAGCATCTGAGTCCTTCAATAATTTTTTGCGACCTGCGACTTGCGGTTTGGGAGTCACATTTCGCCTCTTTTGAACTGCGATCACCGCCGATTGGCTAATACCAAGCCTCTTGGAAATTTTCCGCGTAGTACAGCCATTATCGGTCAGGCTCACAACATTATTTTCCATTTCTTCAGATAATTTTCTAATTTTTTTTTAAATATCGACTAATTATTTCTAATTCGAAACCAATTCACAAAAACTGCTTTGCTTCGCCCGAAACACCGTTTAAACTGCACTAAGAACATCAAAAATAGCATAAGAACAAATATAACGGTGAATCTGGCTGATTTATGCTGAGAAGAGAAGAGAGAGGGCAAAATACTTGGAAGTCATAACACGTGCGAAATTGAGTTTATGCGAGTTTCTTTCGTTTTTTCTCTCAAACTCTTCGAATTTTTCTTATTAGTCATTGTTCTTTACTAGAATTTGTTACAAATTAAATAATAAAAATAAAACAAAAAAAAAATTTGGATTTGCTTGTGTGGTTTTGTTTTTATAGGTGATGAAAGTCAGTTTTATAAACATGCACTCAATTCTGCTCGCCACTGTATATATTTTTATCATTTTCTCAAGTACGGGCACCCTCTTATCCTAAATACACAGCAAGTGCAGTTAAAAATAGAAAACGTAATTGCAAACAATGGAATGACCCTCAAATGTAAGTGGACCATTTAAACGAGTTTAAAAGATTTAATTACCATTTGTTTGGCATAATAAATACTTGCAACGTGTAATACAAACACACATTCTTGGCTAATCGCCACTGTTTATATTACTGCTATTTACATACACATGTCTTAATAAACAGCAGAAAAGTTATAAATTGCAGAAGACTCCACGTTGAATATATATATATATTTTTAAATTTTGATATCAAGTTATAAGTATATATATGTATATAATATCGACAATTCGAAAATCTATAATTAGTAGAATGTTATCATTTTTAGTCCAAACAGGATATTCACTGGTTTTTTAAATACTAAATAATATTTCAATGAAAAAAAAATCATTTAAAAAAAAATCTTTTAATTATTTGCTTTGTAAAATTATCGTTTGAAATACCGGTTTCAATTGATTTGATATAATTGCAGTTATAAATATTGATAACTATTTATTAGCGTAGTCAACCAACACATCTTACTTATTTACTCACTGCGTTTTTGTTTGCGATACAAAAATATAAACAACAACAGTCAAGTGTCCACATATTCATATTACTTTTCAAATTGCACCCTTCAGGAAATTCAGAGGCAAACTTTTTGCATAAAAAAAATTTAAAAATTAAATATTAATAAAGGGTTTTGAAAAAATTTATAATAAAATATTATATATACTTATTGAAAAACAAGAAAAAACGTTAACTGCGGCTGCACCGAAGCTATAATAGCCCTTAAAAACAAGTTACCATACAAGAACTTGATTCCGTTCGTACAGTTTGTATGACAGCTATATGATAATATCCAATATCAACAGCTGCGACAACTGAGCATCGTCTTGGAGAGTAAAGGACGTGTGCGAAATTTCAGATCGATACGTCGAAAACTGAGGGACTGGTTTGCGTATATACAGACAGACGGCCGGACTAAGTCGACTTAGCTCGTCATGCTGATCATTTATATATATACTTTAGGGTCTCTGACACGTGACAAATTTAATATACCCTGTTCAGAGTATAGAAGAAAAAACGGTTATTTCGGCTGCACTGAAGCTACAATACCCTTCACAGGTGGATTTTCTCTTAGCAAGAAAAGTATTAATGTATGATACTGATCAGTAAGTTTGTATGGCAGCGATTTTAAATTCAAAAATTGTTTGTTAAAACTAAAAACTTTTATGGTTTAAACCTGATGTTGGGAGACAAAATTAAATAATTTAATGGATAATAATAATGCATCTGTACCAAATTTCGTGAAGATATCTTGCCAAATAAACAAGTGTTCAATAAGTAATTGATTTTAATCGATCAGTTTGTTATATAATGTAGTTGTCCGATATCTGCGGTTTTTTTCTTGGAGAGAAAAGCACGTGTGCTAAATTCCATCGATATTTCAGAATCTGAAGGACTAGTTTGCGTATAACTTACTTCACTTTAGCCACTCAATATGCAAAATATGCAAAAATTTCCTACCGACTACAATACGTATGCGAAAGAAGATGTTTTCCGTACATTGGCTTTTGGACTCGCGCCTTTTCGCAATACTCGTAGCAACTGCACAAACGTAACTATACAAACAACACTAAATGAGCATAACAAATACACGAGCTTAGCGAAAATCTCTCGCCAACTCTCACGGCAATGAATATTCGCTGGCGGCGCTGAGTGATGCGAATAATATACAAAAAAAAATCGAATGCCGGTGCTCCAACGAATGCTTTTGTGCCTACTCGGCGGAGCGACTAGTAGGCCTCGGCTCTCCAATATCAGCAGCCAACCAACAATGCCAACTATTGATAATAAAAGGTAATGCCAACAACAAAAATACAAATACAACAGCAACTATACTAACAAATATGTACACAAGCATTTGGTGGAAAAAGTGCAATGAAAATGAAAATGAAACGCTTCGTCGCAGCTTTTTTTGTTTGTGCTGTGTCACATCATGTGGATTTGCTGTCTCAGTGCTGTGCGCTTTGTGTCGGCAACGACTTCGGGTGGACGTACGCGTCATTGGTGTCGGAGCGTTGCATTGATTAAAATCGATTTGGGAGCAGAATAAAGAAAATTTGCCAGTTGTTAGTTGACAGAGTTGGAGATTGCTATTTAGGTGTCTAGCTCAAGCAAAGTAGGTTCGGTACGGCAGATGAGCGTTGTGTATTGAACGGCGGTGTTGTTGCTTTCTCGCCTTAGTCGGTATATGCACACGGCGTAAGTTGAAGTGATTTTTCTGCAACTTTTCCGCGTTCGATTTGGCTTTTTTGGTTGCACGTAAGTTAGTTGTTTTGCTGTGCTTTGTTGTTGTATGCTTTATGCAATGTGTTTTGCAATTTGCCATATTGTTGTTTGCAATTACATGACGGTGCTAGTCGAAAGTTGTTGCTGGTATGGCTAACTGCAGAGATAAACAAAATAGAAAACAACAATAGCAAGAACAACAATAACTCAAAAACCACCAGCGAAATGTTGAAAGCATTGCACAATAAAAACTTCTAGCCGAGCCGTCGCAGCGAGTGTGATTCGCAGGCCGCAGGCAGCAGACAGCACTCAGCAAGCAGTAGTTGTGAAACGGTGAGCGAGTGTGCAGCTTACAAAATTCACCAGGAGCGTAGCGTGAAGTGCGAAAAAAAAGAATTCTTACTTAAAAGTGTTAAATTTTTTGTCATTATAAAAACAACAGACGCTCTGTGTTAAACGGAAGTGAAAAAGGTGTAAAATATATGCAACAACCGTTACAAAGTGCATAATTGTGGGTTTTCCGTTGAGCAAATGTAATGCATGTATGTAAGCAACATAGGTCGCAAGTCGCAGCAACAACAGCAGAAACAAGAAGTAATGCAACAAATATGCATACTCATGCTTATACCATTCATATGTATGTGTGTGTAAGTAAGTGGCGCCAGCTTGGTCTGACTGTGTGTCTGCTTGATATTTTCTGTTTAGCTGCAAAGCTTTGTGCATACGCACGCACTTGGTGCGCATATATACAAACATACGTACATAAATAAGTTTTATTTTCAAACCTATGCAAAACTGTGTATTACATAGATGCATATGTATGTGCCTATTAATATTATATATCACTATGAGCATCGCTGTACTTATTCAAGCAAAGTTATGTCTTAACGTGTGCGATTGCAACAGCTCTACACCCACTCTAGCACTACCCAACAAACCAAATTGCGGCGAAAATAATGTCAAAATACATAGAAAACAAGAAATCTTCGACTGCACCGCAGCTATAATACCCTTCACAGCTGCATTTCTTATTGCTTACAAAGGTATTAAAAGATCTGTATCTTGATTATTATCGATCAGTTTGTATGGCAGCTATATACTATAGTGGTCCAATCTGAACAATATGTTGAGAAATCATACCGTTGCCCTAGATAATAATTTTTCTCTCTTCTCGAATTTTCTGAAGATATCTTTCAATTTGTATGGTAACTATATGCTATATTGATCCAATCAGCGCAATATATGCGAAGATTGAAGCTTTGCGTTGGATAATAACCCATGCCAAATTTCGTGCAGATATCTTGTCAAATTAACAAGTTTTTCAGACAAGGACTAGCTTCTGAACGTTCAGTTTGTATGACAGCTATATCCTATAGTGATCCAATATCGGCAGCTCAGGCAAATTAGCAACTTCTTGGAAAGAAAAGTATGTGTGAATTTCAGATCGATATCTCAAAAAATATATACATAATTTTTATTCAATCTAAGTATACTTTATAAGTATAACGAGAATTATGGACATTGTCAAAATGTTCTTAATTTTGTTTACTGGTCACCACTTTTGTGTCTATTTTAGTTGCGACCTCTTATCATTATCTCTTGTTGTTGCTACTTGTTGTTGTTGGTAGTGCTCCTTGTTGCTCTTAAACTTGTGTCTGCGCATATTTGACGCTGCGCATAAATACTCGTAGTCGGATTATGTGTGTATGTGTGTGTGAGTGTACTTGTAGAAAGCAGTATAGCCAAGTATTTATCAAACTCAGCCGGAGAAAGTAAACAAGAATTTATGAAAAGATAATTCTTCAAGCGCTAATAAAAATAGAGCAGCCAACAAAATATGACTGATATATGGCATGAAATGAGCACACGTCCAAAGCGTCGGTAAATAGCGATTTAAATTAAAAATACTATGAAAATATTATAAATAAAACAGGTAGTTGTTGTATAAATAAGGATACAATTTTGATAAAAAGTGATAAAATTAAACATGAAGAATAAAAAAAATTGCGACGAATTTCAAAGTGCGCAAATTAAAAATGAATGCAAAAATTAAAAATAAATTGTTAAAAGTTGAAAAATAATGCGAAAGTTTGAAATAGTATGCGTGTGGAATTGAAGTTAAAGTGAATATAAATACCTAGCAAATAATAATAAAATATTTGTTTAACAGAAATATATAAAAATATTATAATAAAAAAAAAATTCAATAATATAGAAAATTTAAGCGATGGCTAAAATTAATAAAGTCAATATAAAATGTGCCTTTGCAATAAAATAATATATTAGATGAATGTGCTGTATTATTATAACTGGAAGATTTAAATAGCAAAGAGTGCATAATAATTTCGCATAAATCATTTTAATCAAATAAATCTTTAGCTATTCTAAGTTTATTTGCATTTTTGTTGCCTGGCAAATATTATCGCTAAATTATTACACATACACACAAACAACAGTAAATAATCAATTTAATGTGCTTGGCAGACTGGCAATAAATCGCTACAACTACCAACAAAACCAACAACAATGAGCTATGCAAAATGCTAAAACTTATAGGCTCTTTGCGAGTTGATTTGACTTGCTCACGAATAGCATTAATAATGTCTAATTGCTGCAACAATCCACAAAATGACTCAGATCCATTTATAAAACCGCAACTTTGTACTACAAATATATGCACATACAAAAGTAAATAGCGTGTGATCAAATTAGTAAATGACTTTTGCACTTCAACGTTGATTTAATGAGTACAAAGAAAAAATAAACAAATGATTAGAAAGGAAAGGAAAGCGCATTAATGCTACACAAAGGCAATCACTCGTTGTGTTAATTTGTTTAAAATAAACAAGCGTTAAGCCAATTCAGTAACGATAGGCACTAAGCTGCTATTCGCATTGGCATCAAAACAAAAATCAGCTGTTTATCAACATATGTGTATATGTCTGTATGTATATGTGTGGCTATGACGCTCTTTTGGCGGAAAGTTTGTTATTAGCGTGCAAATGAGCAAAGCAGCAACCCTCAGTTTTAACTACTCTCTAATTCACATGTTCTCTCTGAGATTTTTAGCGCATTGTCTATTATATGAATATATATTAATAAATGTACATATATGTATTTGGTTTTGAGCATTTTCTTGTCAAAATTATGCAGTTTGGTATTTTTGCGCTTTTATTTCTTTTTGTGTAACGTTAATTCGGCAATCGGGAGAGAAAGAGAGAGAGGAAGCGAAGGTTTTTAGCGAAAAACCAAAAAAACTTAACGCAGCAGTATAGTTGAGGGGATCCTGTTGTAAATAAAAACATTTAACAGTATGTTTAATAATAAAAAAAAATTTATTTTAATTTTGTTGTTAAATATTTCTTCCATTTTTACTTAATTAAAGTTAAGTTATTTAGTTAAGTTATTTTAGAATTTAGTAAATATTTACGCATTTTCTATGTTTGACTAGCAATTCCTTTGAATTATTGTATTACTACTATAAGTATATGTATAGTATTACATATATATATAAGTATACATAACCCATAGGTGACAGATACTTATACGCCCTGTGGGCTCAAACACGTATTTTTGACGGTCGTTTTTTATTAATCATACGCCCTGGCGACATTCCTGAATCCTTGCTCAAAACAAGTTAAAAAGATTTTGCGTTTGAAGTGGAAACTTAGAATTTATTTTCTTTTATTTTATTAAAATAAATAAATTTAAAGGAAGCGATACGAAAAATATTTACAAAATAATAAAATAATTACTAGTAAAACCAAATGTAAGCAAAGACAAAATTAAAATTTGTATAGCTAAAAAATTCTTATTCAGAACAAGAGGAAATATTAACTTCATTAAATAAGTAAGTTTTCATACAAGCAGTGCATTTTGCTTGGTCAGTTTGTATGGCAGCTATATGCTATAGTGGTCCGATCTAAGCAATTTGTTCAGAGATTATTATTCCTTACTTCTGATAATAATACATGCCAAATTTCGTGTAGATATTTATATATATATTTGAATTGTGTACTAATGTATTTTTATTTATGCAAATTCACAAAAGTAGCTTATAATTAGCAAAGTGGTGATAATTTTTATTTCTTCGGAAGTACTTAGTGCTATAAACACATATATTTTTTAAGAAGATAAACAATCTCGGTGCTTTGATATGCATTTGTTAAGTATGCAATAAGAAAAATAGCACTTGTTAGACCTTCTCTTCCTATTAATGGGTGCACTTTGATGCTGTCCGACAAATCGATGTTTAACGCCAATTCTGAAAAAATGAGTTTTTTTCAAGGAAGAGTACTTTTCGAGTGAATAAAATGTTCTATGATCTTAGTCTGTGTTATGACTGAACACAGGTTCTGCATATGCCAAATTAATTCGGCCTTTCGTCAGGAAGATCAAAAAAAAAGTTCTGAAACGGAAACAAACAATTTCAAGTTGGATTTTTGGCATTCAAAATGCTTCATACAACAAACCAATAGATATTCAATGACTGCGCAACGCTAGGCTTCTTAGAATAATACAAAAAATACAAAAAAAAAAACAAATTCACAAACAAAAAATTCTTGATAATTACTTTCCTTCATAGCTTATTATTAAATGTTTTCTAAAAAAAAAATAAACTTATATACTAACTATAAATATAATATCATTATATATATATATATATATATATATATACAGATAAGTCGACATGCACTAAATTATTGCAAAACCACACTAGCGCAAATAAAAAATCATTCAAGATGGAACGATGGAAGCGTGCGGTCAGCGAACAAAGATAATACATATGGAACAATGACGACAGCAGCAGCACTGACCAGCCATACACACCCAACTAAACAAGTATACTATATATATTTAAGTGTTGTATATGTAGTTGTTGGTGTGTGTGTCGCTAATCACAAGCAGACGCTGCCAAACAGTCAGTTCGAGCGGACAGCTGTTGCTGCTTTCTCACTTCCATTAATTCCCGCCACCATACGTCGGCTATTGGAATTTTTAACAATGGCCATCTAACAACACAATGCTTAGAATACTATACAAATTATTTGCTTATTTTGCTGAAAAACGAAACTTCGATGTTTCAATATATTTCAGTTCGTTCGGGAGCCCGGTCCAGTGCACAAAAGTGCAAAGTGGCAAAAAGGCGAAGAGACACTAGACGGGAATAGCTGCTAAATATACGATCGCGCGAAATTTGTACGTGATTATGTGATTTCAATTAAAATTTCACGCGATTTCAGTAAAAATAAATATCCGCAAATTTGGCACTTTATGGTAAAAAAAAATATATTTTTTTTAATGAATTAAAAATTAATTATATTTTAGGCGGTTACTTACGAGTAATTGGATTTTGGTTTAGGAAGATTTTTTTTTATTCTACATACATTTAGGTATATATTTTTTTCAAAATATATGTATATACATATACATATGTATGTATAAATATATATTCGCACATGTACATATATAAAAGTTTTGCTTAACTGTGGCGTGCTGGATATCGTTTTCGTTAGGTTTTTTGGTCTCAAATGTGTATTTAATTGCATTTCAAAAGACAAATAAAATGTGAAAATATTTTGAAATGCATGCATATAAGGGCAAAAATGTATAAATTTGTGAATATTTTAACCAAAACCGCTATAACAATACGTATGGTCAGTAAGTTGAAAATATTTGCGTTGAACCGAAGTGAGAGTTTGAACTATGGCTTATATAAATAAAACTCATTTAAATTTTACCAATATATTTGAAAGTGAAAATGAGCAAAATTTGAAACGTAGTGTTTAGAACATAAACGACGGCTCAACAAAGTTTTTGCAATTTTAACAAAACATATATAGAAAAATTAATGAAATTTCACAACAAAAAAAAATTATTTCAAATATTTGAAAAATATAAAATCGTATCAAAAAGGTGCCACAAATATCTGAAAAAAAGTGTATGTGTTAAATAAATTTTTTGTTAAAACATCAAATTTCTATTTTTTACTACGCGAATGAATATTTATATTTGTTTTGTTTTTTGTTTTTTATGCCTGATTTCGCCAAAAAAAGGTCACATAAATGAACAAATTTCTTATCAAATTAACTTGCAGAATCAAATATATTTTTAAAATAAATTTTGTATAATTTTTACAGTTGAAGGCATTACTAAATTTTTTAACTCCAGCGTACCTACGTGATAGTTGAGAAATGTGGTAAATCAATAATAAAATAAAATAAATCGAGTGGAGATTACTGAAAGTGCAATAAATATTTAATTTAAAACACAATTCCTGCGCGCCGCGCACCATTCACATTAAAACCACTGCGCAAATACAACAACGTTTACTTACAACACACCAAATGCGTGCAACACAAAACGCTCCCACCCAAATGTATGACAATGGTGAAATAATTACAAAATCACTTAAAAACAAAACATATTAAACACGAACAACAAAGTGTTGCAAATTGCTTCCTCTTCCCCATATTGGCAACAACAATAAACCCAAACAACCACAATGAAATCGATCTTTGGCGGCGCCAAACAACAACTCAGCAGCTGCATGCAGCACGACAGTGATGATACACCGCCCGTTATATTGGTAGCAAACAACGACTATAACCACCACCATCATGAAAACCACTACCAGCAGCATAATGGCAGTTATCAAGTACCCGTAACCCGAAATCATTCGCCGCGCCACTACAGCCAGCCCCATACGGAGCTAACAGATCACAACAATAGTCAGCACAACAATAATAACAATGTCAATAACAACTTTATCACAGCCGTTACAACGCCCATCACGGGCACGAGCACTTATGAGACCTTACAGCGTCCCTTCAAGCACGATCGTCGTCGCGGTCAATGGTCAGCGACGGCAGATTTCTATTTTGCCTGCACAAGTCATGCTTTCGGTTCGATTATCTTCTCGGAGGTGCCAGTTTATGCGATGATTTTTGGTGGCGGTAAGTGCGCTCATACATACATACATACATACATACATACACAGATACATGCGATAGCTTGGTTTGATAAGCCACTGGTATGGTCATTCTATAATTATAATTATTGGCTACGGCATCAATTCGATTTCGTTTTAGTTCGTGTAGTACAACAGAAAATAATTGCCAATTTGTCTGTCAATATGTCAGTCAGCTCTTATCACTTAAATGCTTAACCTTGCAAGAAATCGGCGTAGATATCTTTTGCGGTTAGGAATCATGCTAGTTGCGGTTAGGAATCATGTGTGAACTAGATGGCATGCCTCATGTTTTTCCTAAGTGAAAACAAAGACTATCGAGAATATGATCGTGAATATGAATGCAGAGTTACCATACTTTTGAAATCTATCTCATACGAGCTTTTGTTTTTTTTTATCTGTGATATTTAAGCTTTCCCGATCATTAAAATATATGTACTTATTAATTTCGGAAGCTATATTAGGTTAGGTTAGGTTAAAAGTTCGACCCAAAAAAATGGATCATACATGGACAGCTGAAAACGCCGGTACATTGTGATACCCAAATACTCCTAAGTATTGATCCAAAAGACTCTTCAAAATCGACAAAGTGCATTCAGTCTGCCACAAATTTGTTGAGGCGGCTAATATAAATTCCGGCTATTTCACTATATTCACGGAAGATATGACTGCCGAGATGTTTCAATCTGTCTTGCAAAAGCTGGACCTCCATACAACTTCGACCACTCGCATTCTAAAAAAACTTTCAGCCTTACTGCATGTATGCCTACTGGACAATGTTTTTGGTTCAGTGGTACTCCTGCGTTCTACTCTTGCCCAGAAGGATCTCGCAGTCGGGCAGAAGTTAGTTGCTAACCAGCGCTTGTTGGACTCACGCGAAATACAAAGGTCCACCGCTAGAACGCAAGAGTACAACGGAAACTCAGCTTATTTTTCCCAATCTGATGTAAGCGAGACAAGGGAGTGCTCTCTGGCGAACTCATCGGTTTTGCAGTTTCCAGCGATATGTCCGCTATGATCAGACACCTAAAAGTTATAGTAAAGTCATCTTAAAATTATGTGCGCACACAGTGGGTACTCGGAAATGGTTTTAGTCAGTCTGCAACAGTTTAAAAATCTAACTATGTCCAGAGAATATTCCAAGATCTTCCACAGATTTATGTTTTGCAGTTTGCTTCCTTTTAAAATTTACTCAAATCAAAAAATAACCCAACTATATCATAAGTTCATCAAAATGTTATTAAAATATTATGTACATCAAACTCTGCTATATTAATTATTTGATTTTACAGTTTTCTTTTTGCCGATGTACTTGATAGCGATATTTTTATATGCCATTCCAATTTTTATAATACAAACTTTCTTGGGTCAATTCTCAACTTCGGGACTAATTTCCGCCTTTCGTGTGGCGCCGCTTTTCAAAGGTGAAACTATATTATTTTCTTACTCAATTCAATAGTTGTTAATACTTCCACATATATAATTTTCGGTACAACAGGCATCGGCTATTCCATACTGCTGCTAAATCTCATTTCGCTTGCCTACTATGGCATTGTGGCAGCTGTACCGCTTATCTATGCTGCCAATTCCGTGCACACTGTGATACCGTGGATGAGTTGTGATAACGCGTGGAATACGCCCAATTGTTCAACACATTCTACATATGACGCGGATGAGATCTCGCTGGATCCGCATGCGACTGTCGAGTTTTTTCGGTAAGTGTGTGTATAAGGTTTAATTATTTAATAATATCATAAGTATAAATTAAATACAATATATCAAAAACCGTACAAAGTGAGGAAATTGATGCATACTTTCAGGCGTTTTATAAAAAATAATTTATAAAATAAGTAAAACAATTGAAATCCGCATATTAAATAGGTATACATATATACAAACATAATGTTGTGATATGAGATTTAAGAGGCAACTGTTATTTAAATCACTGCCGATAGTGATTTTAAATGCGACAAATAAATGCTTTTATATAAAGTTTAAAGAAATAATTCAATAACAAGAAAAAACGTTTACTTCGGCTATAACACCGACCTATAACACCCTTCACAAATAAAAAAAGGTTTCTTACAAGTACTTCATTCCAATCGTTCAGTTTGTATGACAGCTATATGCTATAGTGGTCCGATATAGGCGGTTCCGACAAATGAGCAGCTGCTTGAGGAGAGAAGAACGTGTGCAAAATTTCAAATCGATATCTCAAAAACTGGGGGACTATTCGCGTTTATACAGAATGACGGATAGACAGACGGACTTGGCTAAATCGACTTAGCTCGTCATTCTGATTATTTATCGTATTATAGAGTCTCCGAAGTTTTTTTCGGGGTGCTACAAACATTGTGGCAAACTTAGTATGCCCTGTTCAGGGTATAATAAATAATTTAGAAAACTTTTCGTTACCGAAACTCAGGCGAAAAATGCAAATAATGATGCTAATTTTAATTTTTTATCGCCGACCCTATAAACAGCTCAGAACCCTATCTTCTTCCATTTCTTTCATACAGATACATCATTCTCACCGATGATAACACGCCGCACGAGTATGTGATATCCTGGCCTGTGCTATGTGGTGTTGTGGGTGTGTGGCTGCTCACACTCGGCATATTGCTGAAGCGCATCTCATTTGTAAGTAGCGGAAATAAAATAAACAGCAGTTTTTAATTATTTGTCTTACGCCTTTAGATTGGTAAATTTTTTCGTTGTATATGCGTCATTATGTTTGCCATTTTTTTGGCGATATTTCTGCACCTTATCTGCTACATAAGACTTGACTGGGACACCTTCGTGGACTACTTTAAACCAACGTTGCAGAGCAGCTTTAGCGGAGTTTTGGGTGGTTTACGCACAGCGATTTTCATGTCCACCTGGCTATTGGGTCCCGGTTGGGGCAACGTACTCACACTAGCCAGCCACAATCGCTTTCACCGCGACAGCGAGAAGCTGACCTACTGGGTGAGCGGCACACATGTGCTGCTCGCTTTCATGGCGATGATTTGTGGGCGTATCGCTTTCGATCACTTCGAAGGTAACTGCTAAAGTGAAGTCTATTAAATTTATAAGTGATTCTAATGAATATTTTTTCACAGATCACGTGGGCTTCCTGCATTTTCATTTCGATGAGGAACATTATATGCAATTTCTTTACCTCTGTTTTGCATATCTATTCGGCAGTTTTACGAGCTTACCGAACTTCTGGTGTTTCCTCTTCTTCAGCATGATTTTTCTAGCGGAACTAAGTGCAATTGTAAGTAATGTGTTTCATATACATACTTATGCATATATGTGTAATGCTTATAAGGTCATATTTTAAATAAATAAATGTGCTCTTGGTTTTTCCTTTGTTTACCTACTAGATTATTCAAATGATGTCTGTGCTGACGGCTTTATTTGATGAGTATGAGCAATTAAGAACAAAGAAATCACGCATTACAATCGCTTTGACACTGCTGATGTTGACTGTGTCAATTTATTTTTGCACCAAGGTTAGTCTCTGTACCATTGTATGTATATTTTCAATACAATTTATATACTTATAAGTATGTTAAGTAAAGTAGTCAACTATAAGCGCTCATATACTATGTAAATATGTCGGCATGTATGGAAGCTACAAATAGTTCGTTAATGTGTAATGCTTTGTTTTTTAGGTGTTCAAGTTTCGCTTAGAAAACTAAAGTTCAAAAAAATTTCAGACTTTATTTGAAGCGAACAGTTTCTGCAGGCAATGTATATTTGATACATATTTGATCAAATTGGACACGGACTGTATTTTGATACAAATCCTTATTATCGCCTTCAAAATAGGCTACTGAGCCATACAAGCATGTCAACGCTTACATTGATTGTAAGCCTCAGCTTTTATGATCTTCAGTGTGCTTGAAAAATTTTGGTTTTTCGGTTTCGACTCATGCTATTCGCTAGATTCTTGGACAGTTTCGGCTATGTGCCACTCAAATCATTCTGTTATCACTAACATGCTACCCAAAAAACTTCTGTAACATTTTCAACGATTCTCGTTCTAATTGGCATGTGGAGATCAAACTTAAACAAGGTTCTATCAATCTAGGCAGGAAATATTTACCGATACGTGCAGTTTAAACGGTTGAGTCAAATTTGATCAGATGGTATAGATATATGTAAATTATTATTTTTTCAAAAATACTCTAGAAAACATCAGATTTTAATATATAAAATAGAATCTAGAAAAGAAAACATGATAGAAACGAAGGTCTATATATGAAATATTAGTTGCTTTCAATTCCCCAAAGCTTCGAGAGGACCATATGGTATATTCTCAAAATTGTCTCTACTATCTCTGCAAAATGCTTTTCTGAACTTCTCCTCCAATTTATCTGATTCGCATTGTTGTAGTCTTATTAATACCTTAATCTAAGCTCTTTAGCCTACTATAGAGCTTTGACGGACCGACCGATATTTTAACTGTTCTCACGATAGTCTACCTTACGTAATCGGAACTTACCCTGATTTTTACCCAAACAATTAATGTCAATTCGTCAGAACCGCTCAAAGGTAGTTGGAGTACTTTTAAAAAACTGTTTAACAGTCTATCGTCGATTATATTCACCAAACCGGTTTGATTTTAATTCGAATCTAGAGACATTCTTTTAACACATTTTTAAGCTTGAGCGAGGTGTTATTGACAAATATTATTCACACACACTACAAAATCATATATTATTATATATGACAAAAACATTAAAAAGAAAATGATTTACTAATCTTTTAATCATTACATTTTAATAACAAATTTTCAGAAAGGCTTTGAACATCTGGACCTGTTACCTAATATTGTCATACTCTCACATTTGATGATCTCTTTCGTGCTCTTATTGATGACCACATGGATTTATGGACGCGAACGGTTTCAGTGTGATTTACAATTTATGTTGGGAAAAACGATTTCGAGTTTTAAGATATTTCTAATACGCTTTCTAACGCCCGCGTTTTTTGTATTGAGCATTGTGAGTAGCACAGCAGCATTATTTTCGACATGCATTATACTTAGATTCTCTCTTTTTCGCTTACAGATTCAAACGCTTTATTTTTTGGAGCGTGACAACTCACCAACTGCACTAGTTATCGTCAGTCAATGTGTGATATATGCCATAGCACCTGCCTATATGATTTATAAAATTTGCCAAACCAATGGCACATTGCGTAATAGACTGAAACAATGCTTTGCACCGCACGACTGGCATCCCGTCGATGCTGATAATCGCCGCTTCTACGAGGAGATTATGGGCGTCTCGGAAATGCTAGTAATGGAAGGCGGTGAAGAGAACTGCGCTGTGAATGCTTAAAACTATAAATATTACAAGCAAACATGCATACATACAAACACACTTATTTATAGCATACGAACAAATAAATTTAATAGTCAGATGAAACGAAAGATGTTTAGAACATTTCGTGAGTTTACATTTTTAAGCTGGTAAAATTTATAAACTAAGTTAGTTAAAGCGTCTTCTATGAGTCTTAAAATCTTAAATGAGTTTAGTAAATAAAACAATTTCCATAATTAATTTCTACTTTTAATTTTCAAAAGATTTTCTTTTAAATGAACGCATTTATGGAATCAGTAAAACGGGATTTTCATTGTTTACAGTTAACTTAACAAATAATACGAGAACAACTATTTTAATTAATAAAATATTATATATCTAAAAATTTATAAAATGATCATATGAAGCCATAAAAAATCTTAAAGCTCTTTTATACTGACTGAACATTAAGTAATATTATATAATATCAAGTTTGAGCGTATGATTCGCCTATAAAAATGATACAAAGTTATGCTGTAACTTGATTGATTAAGACAGTAGGAAATTACGCATGTATGTATGTATGTATGTATGTATGTATGTATGTCTAGTGGTCTACATGTAAGCGCTTTTATATGTTAAACATTTTATGAAAATCCAAATCTATATATACGTACATATGTATGTATGTATGTTAATAATAAGTATGTAGGAGAATAAATATTATCGGAATGCTTGTAGTTTTTTAAGCTGCCTTTTTTATAAGAGATTATATGTCAATTTATATACACACGAACTAATTATATTATACCGAAGTGATATAACAATTAAGAATACTCGATGTTCATACCAATGCAAGAATGCAAGTTTATGTCTAGAATATACATATTTACTTGTATGTATGTAATTACATACATGCCCAAAATGTATACGTAAGTTCAGATATCATGGAACTACTACAGTTATGTACAATATTTGATTACGATATGTAGACATTTTGAAAGTCGTAAAGGCTGAAATAGATTTGAAATGCGCAAAAAAAACATTGAAATGGTATTTCAACTCTGTTCGAATATGCGTAAGTACACGAGAAAGAAGCAGAGAGAAAAATCGTTCGTAAACGCAAAAGGGTTAGTCACTGCCGAAAAGTTGAGAGAGCAAAGTGTCAGTGCGATGCAAAAGATTCGAAAGTGTTGTGCTGAAGCTGAAAAAATTTAAAACTTTAAGTCTTAATAACTTTTGAACGCCGGAGTTTACGAAAAAGTTGTACCGAGCAAAAATTCTTAATAGCGATAGATATATGCTTAAAACATTAAAACGGTAAGGTTTACGAAAAAGTCGTACTTTTTTAGAGAATTCAATTTTCTGCGAATATAGAGATGAGATAATTATTCAAATAATAAATGCTTAGAAATATTATTTTTTCTTTTCAATAGTTAGAAAAAAATTTAATCTGGAGGACCTTCCTAATAATATTCCTTCCTGTGCTGCATACTTGACTAGAATTTTTAATTTCCATTAACCTTTCGAAGAAATGATATGTTTACAACAAAAATAATATTCAAGTAATAAGTAAGGGTGTAATACGACATGCGACATATGAAAAATACACGAAGAAATTTGGATAGTTTAAAAGTTTCACTTTAATAATATTTTTAAAACAATATTTATTTGCTCTTTATTATTATTTTTTGCGTTACACAAATGATATAATTTTTTTTTAAATATATATTTGGAATATTTTTATTATATACGTTTTATTATATATACTCATACATTTAGTTTAAGTCAAATATGGTGTCTGAACACCTTTAATAATATATGTCCTTAATTTTTTTGAGATCTTTCACAACTATTTTTTTAGAGTATAAAGTAAAAAACGTCGATTTATTTTGACCCAGCATTGTTCATATAATATAATTTTTTGAAAGAGCAAGTATTTATCAGGCTTAGAATAATATATAAATATATAAAACCAAGCTAGAGAAATATTAAATTTTAAGAAGAGATTAGTGACTTACGCAAGCCAAGTTTCAAACCAATAATACACCGTATACCATCTACCACGCACTCAATAATGATGTTTAGTCATTACACTAGTTTTGACAAAGCAATAATAATATTTTTTATATCTTAGCAAAATAATTTCTTAAAAATTCGCACACAATTTTATAAAAGCCTGTACCAATTATGTACTTGAGAGCAATGTAACCATCCTAACTATTGATATGTTTTGAATATGGACCTGTGAATAAATTCTCAATATGCGCTACATGAGATAGCGACAAGCCTGGGTTGTAATATTTACAAAAATTTTTAACAAAAAAAAAAAAAATTATACATATATGACTATTTATGGCATGATTATGTAAAATTTTATGCATAATTTTTTAATTAATGGCATTGAACTTCAAACGCTGTTAATGACGAAATGTTTTCTCTTATTCAAATGCTTATAATAATGAACAATTATTATTTTTTCTGTTTTTTGTTTGTAAATTGATAGATAACTGTAATAATGTGTACAAAATAAACAATTATTTTTCTACACATTGGTATATACTCTTATGTACTGTTATTTACATCATTAGTACACGTATAAACTATTATTGTCGTCGCGTTGCCATAATTCCACATGCTTATATTGAGAATTAATGGCAGCATTCGTATGAAAACTAAAATATATATAGATATCTTTGATTAATACAAAAAAAGACCTATAAATATATATATAAGAGAATTTGTATGCTTCATTTTAATATTTTACATACAAACATACGAGTATATACGCAACTCTGTGTTTGCATACGCTCATGCATCACAGCAGCGCCAAGAGTTTTCCGATAACGCTCGATTTGGTCGTAAGCTGAGAAATTGCAACGAGCGTAAATGAAACATGCAAGTGATTAAATTTTATATTTTTTTTCTTTTGTTTTTGCTCATTTTTCTCTTTAACCGTATTATAATCACCCGCAATTGTTGCTACATACATATGGATATGTGAACGAAATTTTGAAATCGAGCAGAAGCGTTTGAACAGTTGCTTTTCGACACTCTGCGCACATGGAACGCTTCATAACGTCGTGATTGTTAGCAAAATTTGGTGCATACGTTTTAATGTTTTATGTGTGAAAATTTAAAATTTTGCAAACAATTATTTAATTAAATACGAGATAATCATTATATTGGCATGAATAGCATGCCCGTGTGTTTGTGCGTGTGCGTGTAAACTAAATTTGTTATAATGATTTACGAAAGTTCTTATGACAGCGGTCGTCTGCCGTACAAACCGGATTTGGCACGTGGCTATTGGAGCAAATCCAGCGACTTCATATTTACCGGCATCAGTTTGGCTTTTCGCTTAGATGTCTTCTCCATTGCTTGGATTGTATTTACATATGCTGGTTGTGAGTAAAGATGTTTTTTAAAGCAAAGATATGAGAAGACCACTCGGAGTAAAATAATTATTTTGACGCAGCCTATCTACCTGCATATACTTTTGTTTGCTTTGTGCAATTTTATTTTTTGTCAATAAAATCATAGAAAAAAACAAGTAAGAAAGAGCTTAATTCGGGTGTAACCGAACATTTCATACTCTTGCAACTTGCAAGGAACAAAATTGGAGTCACACCTTCCGGTTTTGGCAAAACTTTATATCGAACAAAGGAAAGTATCGCCGTGATTTCTTTCATTTAAGGAAAGATTTTTTCTGAATTTCTAGTTATGAAATTTAATGCGTGTGGCTCATTTATTCAGTGAGTTCTAGTACCTTTAGTAGTTTTCAACATAACCGTTATATGGGGAGTGGGCGTGGTCATTATCCGATTTTACCCATTTGCACAGCGTTTGAAGAGGTGATAAAATCATTTCTTCTCATCAAGTTAGGTTAATATATCTTGATGTGCTTGGAAGATATTACTGTTTTGTATCTTAATTTGCGGCTTAGTTATCAGACAGTCACCCAGATTTCAACTCGTCTCGTCATCCTGATCATTTATATATAGGTATATAACCCTATATCAAACTCAATTAGTTTTAGGTGATACAAACAGTCGTTAGGTGAATAAAACTATTATACTCTGTAGCAACATGTTGCAAGAGTATAAAAACCACTCTTCTGTGTGATGTGTCTATGCATTTTTGAAAACCAATTTATTTTTAGGCGCTTCCGTAATACCGTATATCATATCTTTGTTCCTATTTGTTGTTCCACTTTTCGTAATGCAATCATTTCTGGGCCAATTTTCGAGTAGTGGCTTCATATCGGCATTTCGAATAGCGCCACTTTTTAAGGGTGAGTACTTTTTGCTTCAAACACTTTAAGTATATTTTATTTAATTAAGTGTCTTTAATTATTTACATCAAAATAGTAATTATTATTTATATAAGCATCAAATATACATTTTTTTCGTGCATCGACAAATTTTGAAGAGTACAAAGATTGCAGCTGTTAAAAAAAAACATTAAAAAGTCTTGGGTGTTAGCAAAAAAATTATATAATTGTTTTTTATTATAATTCCAGCACCACTAATAGGAAGAATATATTTATAGTAATAGAATTGCAATTATTCGGTATAAAAAAAAAATATCTTTATCTAAAAAAAGTATGTAATCTTTATTATATTTAGGAATTGGCTACATTAGTCTGGCTGTGAATTTGGGTGTGCTCACTTATTACAGCGTTTTTGCTGCCGTTCCATTACTCTATTTAATTCACTCAATGCGACCAATTTTACCCTGGAGCTGTGAGGGCATAAAGCATTGGTCATACAATTTTACAGAAAACCAAGTGCGACACGTAAGTAAAAAAATTTTGAAAATACTTGTCAGAAATGTCAAAACAAATCGAATAGAAAATATTTATTGGGACTCTATAAAATAAAACAAGTTTTTATTATTATACAAAAAAGATTAAAAAATAATAAGGCGAATGATAAAACATGGAAGCAAAGATATTCAACTGTAAATTTTACTTCACTATTCTTATTAAAGTACAGCGCACAAAAAAAAATTTTATTTCTATGAACCTTCAGAATAAACTAGTAAAATAATATGCTGGCAACAAAAATAATGTTCACAGTAACAGCAAAGTAATGCGACATGCGACATTCGACAAATAGGCTTAGAAATTTGGATAGATAAAAGCTTTCACATTAATAATATTTATAATACAATAATGCTTGTTCTTTATTAGTATTTTTTGCTTTGCACAAATGTTATAACCCCCTTTAAATATTTTTATTATATATGTATATACATAGACTATATATATTTATTTTAATCAAATAATATTTCTGAGCACCTTTAATAATAGACCTCCTTAATTTCAGCTTTGTCATATTCTGTCAAATGACACACTGCCACCAAAGAACAACTTTAATTGGTTTTCAATGCATGAAATACCATCGAATTTATTTTTAAAGTAATGCTAATTAAATATTATATTATTAATAACTTTTACGCAAAACCTTTTTTCGTAATTTTTTCAGATCTCGTTTTAATCACATGGAACTGTTTGAGCACAGTAGCGAGGGTTTCTACATCTCATGGGAGGTGTTGCTTTGTACTTTATTCACATGGGCACTCATTGCGGCTATATTCTACAAATGCAACAGCGTAGAAAAGGTGTAGAAAAATCGGCATAATTTATTTAAAATAAAATAAAAATGTATACACATTTACATATTTTTTAATTTTACAGTTGAGCACCATGCTGCGCTATAGCATATTTACTGCCTTCATTTTGCTAATAATTTCTGTGATACGTTTCGCTTTGATACCGCAAAATCCTTTGCTTTCGATATTTGATTTCTTTGTGCCGAGTTGGGAGATGTTTATGCCTGGATTTCCCACTGCGGGCATATTCGTGATATCAGCATTTGGCGCCGGTTGGGGTACCATCATAACCCTGGCCAGTTTTAACAAATTCAAAACAAAAACTGTACAAAATAGTTGGATCATCTGTGTTGGGCAAATGTTTATATTTCTTTCCTTCGGGTATATTGTCTATGTAACTGACCGCTATTATAATGGTGAGTTTAAGATGAATTG